TTTGTTTTACTTGCTTGTAAGCGCTTTGAGCACCAGGAAAAGCGCTTTATAAATGTAATGTATTATTATTATTATTATTATTGATATGATCATTATAGTTATAAAAAAATAAGAGAATAAAGTAAACAGGTATAAAATACTGTATGACAGTAAAACAAAGTTGTTATTAATAAAGAAGAATACAGTTTGAGAGGGGAGTGATTTGTAAAATATCCATAAAGAAAAATAAAATCTGCTTACAGTTCTGTTTCATATGGATGTTGAGAGATGTATCCATAGATCTCTTCATGTTGCTCTCAAAGTGCACCAGATTGATGCTTTTAACTTCAATATTTAAAAACAAATCTTCCCGGGGAGCATGCCCCCCGGACCCCCCTAGAGGGTGTGAGGTACCCCCCCCACTTAAATCATGTCCACATGGATATGAAACTAAATACATTTGCACCCATATTGTGTCCATATCTTTCTGTTGTGGTGGTCATGCCACACCGTGCACATGCATGCATGCGCAAGTCATGGTGAGATATCTGGATTAAGAGGTTGCTTTTTCTTTGCACGGCATGAAAGAAAGGCCAAATGAATGGGCTGTGATTTTAGTTTTTTTAAGCAGAGGTCAATAATTTGTACGGCCCTCGGAGGATGTTGAAAAAATTGAAATGGCCCTCGAGAGGAAAAAGGTTCCCCACCCCTGACTTAGTGGCTTAAAATAAATGACTGTGGGCAAAAATAGGCAAAAAGGAGCATTAATTAATAATAAATAATGTAATTATTCTTTATTATTATATTAAATCACATTATATTATTATTGTTACGTTTTGGCTTTGTAGGAAAGGAAAACTAAAACCCAAACCCATACAAGTGGACCAACTGTATGCAAAAAGTGAAAGCAATTAGAACTATACCTTTTAAACCGGGTTGTAAACGTACACGCACAAAAAACATCATGGATGCCAGTGATGTTTCAATCTGCAGTGTATGTTTTACTTTCCAAATATTTATCCGCAAGAGTAAGACGTTTTTCCATTTTCTCACTTATTTGTTGAAGTCATTTATATTGCAAACAAAGGAGGAAATCTGGACCAGAGAACGTTCGGACTGGATAGTAAATTACATTACACACATGTGAGCAGAAGTTTTTTATTGAAAGGCATCAGTGACCCTACACATTCAGACATGGAGGTGGTGTGTAATATAACAGCTGAATATCTTTGGTTATGAATCTCTTCAAAGGGTTTTTGCAGGTGGTTTTGACTGATGGTCCTCTCTGTTGGTTACAGGGTTTACATGGAGGGCTGGAACCAGTTCTTCATCTCCTCAAACTTGTCCTTCAGCGTGGAGCGCAGGTCTTCAGCGGTGGTCTCGATGCGGTCCTTCATGTCCTCGGTGGTGTCGTGGAACAGGTCACCCAGGGTGCTGATCTTTGCCTGGACGTTGTCCCGCACCTGAACGAAGAAAGGGTCGAAACGCTCCTTCATGCCCTCCATGTTGTTGGAGGTGCTGGAGTGAAGATTCCCAAATAATTCTTCAACAGTTCTGAGAAAAAGGACAAAACTATTTTAAACACGAGACTCAAAAGTTCAGATTTATCTCATTGATTGAATCCCATTGAAACAGCATGTTGTAAAATAAATGTTATTATATCTTAATAAAGTGCAGGGTTGAAGAAGTAATTAGGTCCCTTAGTTCAACTGCAACATATATATATATATAACATATATATTTGAACATATGTTATATGTTCAATTTCACAGAAAAATCTAAATTAATGCTAAATAAACTATACTTTAGTTTATTTAGTTTATCACTAATGCATAATTATACACTAATTATGCATTAATGTATAATCAAAAACACTTTTAAGACAAATACAACTGAAAATGGTTTAAATGTTTATATAAACATCATGTTCTGTCGAGTTATGTATGTACAATATATTAAATATATAAAATCAATATAATATATAATAATTGTTTTGTTAGAAAAAGCACGTTCTTTTAGTCTTAGATAAAAGCTAGCTCAAGTTGTTTATTTGATCACATTTACATCAATTAAAAAAGCAGTCATTGGCTATTCAAATAAGAAGTCTCAGGTTACCAACAAACATGCCAAATACATTTGCATAAGTTAAAGTAAAATAAGGTAAAAAGGAAACATTTTGCAAATAAACAAACTGAAATAAACAGATTTGTAGTGAATGCGTATCATTGTACGTATAAATCTAGTTGTATGGGGTGTGTAAACAGTTGGAAAACAAGTAGCCCCTCCCTCACCTCTTGATGCTCTCTGTGTCCTTGTTGAGGCGTTTCTTCAACTTGCGGCTGTAGGCGGAGACCCGGACCCTCACGTCGTCGGCGTTCTGCTCCATCATGGTCGTCAGCTCCAGTCTGTACTTTTCCATCTGCTCCCGGGCCTCCAGCAGCTGCCCGTCCAGCTTGCCGAAGGTACTCTGCAGATCTCTGCCCAGGGTCCCCGCCGCCTCCTGGGTGTATGGGCCCAGCTTGGTCTTCAGGTCCTCTCTGTACTGGGTCAGCTCCGACATGCTGTCGTAGATCAAGGTGCTGAGGGGTGGAGGGGGGAGAGGAGGTTAGGGATGGGGTCAAGAATGAGGTGAGAGCAATTAAAGGCCTACTTCAAGATGAAAACATAACGTAAACAGCTTTCTTCTAATGCTTGTGTGAATATTTTATTCTATATTAATTGAAATTATTGGACACACACACACACACACACACACACACACACACACACACACACACACACACACACACACAAACACACTGAGTAACGTGTGTTGCGTAACCATCAGATTTGTAAAAACAACATTGTGTTTTGCTCTATCACCAGTCAGACAGACTCCAATCAATCTGACAAGAACAAAAGACCCAGAAAACATCAGGGTTTGTTCTATTCACTGTTAGCAAGCACAAATTAGATCATTTACTTGAGCAAAAGTAGCAATACCATCAACTTAAAATGTTGCATTCCAATGAATGCAAACAAATGGAAGTATCAACATTAAAATCAACTGAGATTTTAAAGTACTTACAAAGTGAGTATTATTGCTGATGCATGTTATAAGCAGCGTTTAAATGTTGTAGCAGCCATTTCAACTCCTACATTGTTCACTAACGGGTTGGAGTGGATCATATTTTACAAGTGATGACAGAATTCACATGGAAAATGTTAATTTGAGAACTGACTAAAGCAGTCACACAAATACTGTAGTGGAGTGAAAAAATGTAACACGCAGGAAATAGAAACACTTTAAAAAAGTATATTTCAGTTGAATTCAAACCCATTACACATAGCTGCAGTTTAATGTTACATAGGCAGGTAAAGAGTTAAACCATTAGTGTACACTTGTATTAAGCGATAAATTCAACATTGGGATATTATTAAATAGTATTAGCGATACTGCTATTGTTTCTCTTAATGTGAACCAGCTTGCTTGTAGTTGCAGATGTATCCAGCTAGACGAGGATGAGTGAATAGAATTCACTTTATTGGACTAAATGTAAAAAAATTCTTTGAACGAATGGTGAACTATGATCTGTCTGTAGACAATGACAGTTCTGTCAAAGCAGGTATGAGCATTTATAGCACATGAGGTATTTATCAGGCAACCAAATGTCCCTGGCAGGTCTAAGGTGCAAATAAATAGATGTATTACTCTGATAACTCTTCTTAAATTCAGCAGTGTGACGTGAAAGGACTCACTCCAGTTCCCGATTGATCTGGGAGCTCTTGATGTCCTTCACCATTCTGTCGGCCTTTGAGTTCAGGTCGGTGAAATAATCGTTAAACTTCTCGACCGTGGCTTCCCAGGAGTTCATCATCTCATCCTGAGGAACACTTCTGGCATAGCAGCCTGTTAAAAAAAAAAAAAGTATACAACAAAGGCATAGCAGCCTGCGTTACACAGAGACAAAGAAGATTACATATTCACTTCTTATTATTTTAGAGGGGAAACAAAACATGATGGAAGATGTTTGGCATTGGATTTCGGATAAATCACCTTTTTTGAATCAATGATTGCAAAATGTACGAGTCATTTGATTTCAGGTTATATTTTCAAATCTGTGAGACCACACCACATTTTGTTAAATAAATATTGGGACTCATATTTGATCTTTTTTTTTTGAAACCACTAAAGAACAGACAGAAGTAAAAAGAGAATGTGAAACTTGTTTGAAATATAAAAGCTCCTTCTGGCTTTATTATCTCAGACTTATTGTGGTCTGTACAGTAGACCGTGATTTCAAAATGAAAGCTCAAAAGTGTAACAAAATGATGGACAATTCAATCTGTTTTTACTTTATTTGTCTTTCTTCTTATCTTCTCTCCTTACTCATTTGATTGTCTTCTTCTTCCTTTTTGTAGTTTTTATGTGTGTCTAAAAATACATTTGAACTCACCTGAGAGGACCGCCAGCCCAAGGAATACTGCAAACACCCTCATGATGACACCTGGAACATCACATGATAAATACTTTAAAACTATTTCAACACTAACACACACAAACGTTTTTAGTTCATTTCAGTAGATTAGTTATAAAAAGCTAAAATGTTCACCTGTTGAATATACATTTTAGGATGTTTTACTCAAGTAACTCAAAGTTTTTACACATAAATAAACTCAAATGTTCAAACTAAATGATTTGAAACAGTTCAAACAAATCAAAATTCTGAATTAACCCATACAAGACCAGCCTGCTGTTAGAGACGTGTGAGAGCTCACCTCAGTGATGTGATCTGTGACGTCTGTGACACTGATGAGCCTCCCTCTCTATTTATACACTGCATGTGACTGACTGCGATCCAATAAATGTGAGCAAGATTGCTGAGCTGCGTCCGAAGTTCCCAGCTCCAACTGTGCTGTTGTCATCTTTTATTGCTGTGTGTGTGTTATTTCGGCTCCACGTCACAGGTAAAAAATGAGGAGCACCCCAAAAATCTGAGCAGAGATTGAGTGGGATCAGTTTTAGATCAGTGCAGTTTTTTTACTTACAATAAAATAAAAAATATGTATATGCGTTATGTATTACATGCGTTATTTAACAATATTTCTGGTGAATATTCGTGTGTATGAGGCTCACTGGCAGTGGATGTAGGGTAGGGGTGTCAAACTCAATTTCATCGCGGGCCACATTCGCATAAAGGTTGCACTCAAAGGGCCGGTTGTAACTATATAAATATATAATATATATATAAAATAATGTATTATATTACATTATTGCCTCTGAATTGGATTATTATGGGATAGGATAATAACTTAGTAATTAATTACGTCTGAAAGCAGAAGTCCAGGGCAAACAACTGCAAGTCTCTTCAGCGCGCATGTCACAAAACGAGATGCATTGTGGGACATGTCGTTTATGGGCAACGTGCTTCTGTAAAGTTGAATGTAACCGTATAATAAACGTATTATATTCTTTGCAAGCTCTTGCGGGGCAACATAAAATGAAATCGCGGGCCGGATTTGGCCCCCGGGCCTTGAGTTTGAGACCCCTGATGTACGGGATTACTTTTGTCGTTGTTATTGTTTGTTTGTGTTTTCCGTTATTTTTGCCTTTGTACATATAACCAGTACAAACCATTGTTTCATTTGTATATGCATACATTTAGCTTTCCATTTCTAAATGACAAGTCCTGGTTATGCATTGTAGAAACGTAATAAAAAGATTTTTGATCTGAAAATCACTGCACCATGAGAGAAATCAAAAATAAACAGAATTCACTTTACTTAAGGGTCAAAGGTCGTTCTTATATCATTGTCCAGCAGAAGTGGTTCATAGTCTGCTTTAACAACCGCTGCCTGCATTTACACAACTTTTATAAGATGGGAAACCTTGCATTAATCTACCTTTGATACAGATGACGCCCATGAATACAACTATTTATTGGCCATTAGAGTGGAAATGTACCTTTGGCCTGAGTGTTGATGATAATATGAACAGGCATGAGGCCTTACATACATTTAAGACTTTTGGAAATTGTGGGCTACATATGAGTATAAATATGTAGGCTACTATAGTGCAGTTCCCGTTCGGGATGTGCTGTGTTGTGACTTCTTGGGTTTCAAAGTTTACTGTCGCAACATTAAAATAAATAGAGCAAAATATTCCATGAGAATGATATGGCCTCAGAAAATTCAAACCCTATTGAATGTGTGTTCACAGGTTTGATGAATGAAAGTCAAAGTTCAGACGGGCTGACAACATAGATCACATTTACAGAGAGCTCAGTGACCAGACAAACAAATGGGCCTGTTCTAAAGGGTTATTCAGTTAAACCCGATGAGAGGGGATACAGCTGTGCAGATCATTAACAGACGTCGTTTAAGAGTGACGTTTGAGTGAACGAGGACGTCCCATACCTGAGGACTCCTCTGTCCTCGCGTCTCCTCCTCGTGTCTCTCGCTCGCAAGGAAGGGACGCGAGTGAGGGAAAGGAGGAGATTAAATATTCAATTGAGACGAGCCTCTTGTGTTGCTTGATGCACTCCTTGTTTTGAAAATGTTCTCTCTATATCTGTATTTGTCTGATAATTTGCTGGCCAAAAAGCTGCGATGACAACACAGTGGTAAATACTGAGATGTAAGAGCTCAAGTAGAGGAGAGATGTAGATAAAAATCTGAGTCCTTAAAGTTTGCATTTTAGCAGTTAGCTATACTGGTCACACTACTAGACCAAATAAAGCTGAATTTGTGTATTGATTTGAGCAAGTGTGTGTGTTTCACTGCTTATGAGTTACACTTTTAATTGATAAGAGAGAAATTACATGTCTTACCTTGAAAGTTACATGAAATGTTTATAAGATTATCTTTGATTCATAAATGTCATTCCTGAGGAATGGCCCCTTTGAGGAATCATTCCTAAAATCCCTGTGTTCCCTACAGAGGGAGTTTTTCAACCCTGGCTGAAACGCCTCCATTGAACTCCCTGTTTACTTCTGTAACTGAGGTTACCTACTGTAACCCCAGCTTCTATGAGTAAATGGCGTAGCCCTCTAAGGCTATCGCTATTGGGTAATCCCCCTGCGCCCCTGCGCAGCACTGAAACACTTGTAGTCCACGCCCACCCGCAAGGTGGGCCCCTCCCTCGGGCCTCCTTCCGGTATAAATAGGAAGGAGACCCGGCAATCTGCTCCCATACAAAATAACTTTTCTTCAGCTATTCGTAGAGCCAGTGGGGCCCAGCGCTTAGAGGGCTACGCCATTTACTCATAGAAACTGGGGTTACAGTAGGTAACCTCAGTTCTATTTCGTATATGGCTTCGCCCTCTAAGGCTATCACTATTGGGTTAAGGGCGAAGCATGATGTAGTCTGCGCCCCACTGGGTCCGCCCGGCACTAGAAGCACAGACACACCTGCTCAATAACACCCCATGCCTGTTGTGCCATGCGTCATGGCGCATCACTGTCCCTGGAACATAGCAAAACATGCCTATCTTCCCGACGGGGTGAAGGCTGGGAACAATACATACCGGCCGCTGTGAGAAAGTATAGACGAAGGTCCCACCTTGCCCAGCGATCATAGAGGGGGAACAGCAGCTCTCTGCGTGTCAGACAGGTAGGAGAGCGCCCAGCTGGATCCCTGACGTCACTCACTCTGACCAGGCACTCCGTACAAAGTGTGTCAGAGGAAAAAGGAACATCCCTCTATAAGAGGGAAAAAGGGCCGCTCTCCGCGTGCCGAGAGGCAGGAGAGAGGCGCACAGCTGGCTCCCTGACGTCCCTCACTCCGACAGGACACCCAGTACAGGGTGTGTCAGAGAGGAATGGGAGACATCCCTCAAATAAAAATGAATAAACGAACAGGGGGAAGACCAAGATGCAGCAGTGCAAATGTCTTCCACTCCACATTCCTCCGTGCAAAGCCGTGGAGGAGGAAATTCCTCTGGTGGAGTGCGCATTGATGTTCTCCGGGGGCTCCACCCCAGAGGAGACATGCCTGTGACACAGCTTCACACAGCCAGTGTGACAGCCGTTGTGCAGACAGAGGTTGCCCGATCGAGCGCTCTCTATAGTGCACAAACAGGCGCTGAGAATGGCGCAAGGCAGCCGTGCGCGCCACATAGCAGGACAGCGCGCGCACAGGACAGAGGAGATGAGACTTGGCTTCTTCCTCCGACCTGTGAGGAGGGGGAAAGAAGCCATCCAAGGTGATCACTCTCGACTCTAAAAGAGCTTGTGATGACCTTAGGCATGAAGCCGGGTTAGGCCGTAACAGCAGTCCCTGGGCCTGGAGTCCGGAGGCGAACCGTCCACCGACTAGGGTGGAAAGGTCCCGCGCTGACAGGATGTCGTCATCCAACAAACAACCAAACCGGAAGCGAGGAGGATAAAGGAGAGAATCCTGTCTCAGCGCGGGGAGCTTTCCCCCCCCTAGGGATGGAACGCGTTCCAGCACCATCGTTCAATATCGGGCCCCAGGGGAACTGCCCTGGTACGGCTAACCCAGCCTTTATGCCCAAAGGTCATCACAAGCACTTTTAGGGTCACAAGAGTTGATCACCCCTGGATGGGGTTTTTTCCGCCTCCCCTAGATCCGTAGGAAGATGCAAGTCTCTTCCCTAGCTTATTTGTTATTTGCGAGTTCACTTCTGAGCGAGCTAGCCAGTGAGTTGGCAGTGTCCATTGGTCGGTTCACTTGTGGGTGGGACCCCAGGCAGTGAGTCAGCAGTTTGTCCCATCTGTTGCTTCTTACAGTGTATGTGTGACGTGTGTGTGTGTGTTTGTCCCTCTGCCCTTAGGCAGATCCCCCAATCAATGATTTGGAGTCATGACAGAGGACTCTTTGACAGAACGCACACACATTATTCCTATACAGCCCATCATACAAATGTCACCTGTTTTTCTTTATGAAAGCCATACTTGTAAATATCCAAACGCCATCGTCCCATGACGGCCACAGAATCAGTCAACCAACAGAAGTTAACTGTTCCCATGCCCTAAGGTCTTCCCTGACCTTCTTCTCAGCTAAAAGTCAGCTATCTGGAATGAATACCTTTAAAAAATGAGAACAAAGGACTATGGTCTCGTTTAACTGTGTGACTCAATTCTCAAGGCCTGCAGGATGTGCATCATTAACGAACAAGAATTTAACTGCATTATATCTAAGGAAAATGTCTCTGGGAACTACCCTGTTAATTGCAAGGACTATTGATAATTAACAGAGAGACCCTAGGGGCCTCTTCTTGGTATATGCTAGGCAGAAGTCACTCAATGCAGAAATCACAAGTTTAACACACATTCTATATAAGGTGACATTAAAATGAATATACCAGAAATACACCTTATTGAACTTTCCTGCCATAACACGTTACTTTAATCCTTCAAATAATTCAAATAATACTTCAGCGGACCCAGTGGGGCGCAGACTACATCATGCTTCGCCCTTAACCCAATAGCGATAGCCTTAGAGGGCGAAGCCATATACGAAATAGAACTGTAGTTACCTACTGTAACTCCAGATTCTATGAGTAAATGGCGTAGCCCTCTAAGTGCTGGGCCCCACTGGCTCTACGAATAGCTGAAGAAAAGTTATTGTGTATGGGAGCAGATTGTCGGGCCTCCTTCCTATTTATACCGGAAGGGAGGCCGAGGGTGGGGCCCACCTTGCGGGTGGGCGTGGACTACAAGTGTTTCAGTGCTGCGCGGGTGCGCAGGAGGATTACCCAATAGCGATAGCCTTAGAGGGCGAAGCCATATACGAAATAGAACATCTATTCGATTCTATTCTATTCTATTGGCTAGTGCTGCAAACACATTGTACTTGATAGGCTAAGGGGCGGGACATCTCCAGCGGCTGATCAAAACAGAGCTGGCCAGCTAACCAATCAGAGCAGACTGGGCTCTGGTTTCAGACAGAGGGTGAAAAGAGGTGCTGCAGCACAGGCAGTATGAGAAAAATAAAGAGCTTTTTGAACATTAAAGCATGGAGACATGTCCCAGTATAGTTTTGAATTGATGAAGAAAATTGAGAACACAATATTTATTGTTATTTTACAGATGAAAGCTTATAGTTGCAAAAAGTAACATTATAGCATTTTTCTTCAATAAAAACATAGAAAATTAGGTATTGCACTTTTTTTTCTGTCCCATAAAACCAACACTGATTTAACACTGATGATCAGGTAGAAGAGAACATTTCAAAACTGAGAATAGAGAACTGAGAGGTTGGATCAGCTCCGGCAATGCACAGCATACTTGAAGATAAATCTGTTCTACCAAGTTATAGCCTCATACGAGCTAATGCTAGCCAAATGATCCCAAGTTATAGCCTCATACCAGCTAATGCTAGCCAAATGATCCCAAGTTATAGCCTCATACGATGGCGAGTTAAAATTCATTTGAATATTGGGAAGCATCCTCAGTTGTGTTAATGGTAGGAATCGTTAGATGGTCCGTAGTAAAAATCCTTTTAGGGATGTGACCATGGTCCATCATGCTTTGCTGTTGCTTGAGTACCGCGTGGAAATTATGTTTTTTCAGGATATTTGAGAGAAATAAAAACATAAATAATGGTATAGATAAAAGTCAATTTACTGGGTCATCTTAGTGAAGGACTTCCACAGAGCCTCCAGCTGCTTCTTCAGGTTCTGGATGTCGGTGTCCAGCTGGGCTCTCAGCTCATCTCCGTATGGGGCCAGTTTCTGCTGGATCTCCTGGGTTTTCTGGGTCAGCTGGCTCTTGAAGCTCTGGGACAGGGGGACCATGCTCCTCTGGAACTCCTCCAGGCTCTGCTCCATCTTCTCCTTGATCTCCTCGGTGTAGGGCACCATCTGGGCCTGCAGCTGGGCGACGCTCTTGTCCAGATGGGTCCTCAGCTCCTGGCTCTTCTGCACCAGGACGGCCTTCAGGGCCTCGGAGTCCATGGAGTCAGCGTAGGGGACGGCGTCCTTCTTCAGCTCCTCCACCTGCTTCTGGAGGTCAGCGACCAGCTTCTGGGCGTAGGGCTGCAGGCTGGCGCTAACGGCGGTCAGATCTTTCTCCAGACGAGCCTTCAGCTGCTCAGCCTCCTGGGTAAACTTAGACATGAGATCCTTGGTGAGAGGGGCCACCTGAGTGCGCAGAGCGTCGGTGAGCTTGTTGACGGCATCGGTGCTCTCAGAGATCAGGGTGCTGCAGGGACACAGGAATAAGTCATGAGAAACTCTGGTTCCTACTTTAGATATTAACCAGGAATAAGGCACAACATTATAGGAGGAAGACCTTTTGGATTTCTAGCAAGAATAAAGTTGAAAAGTTGGTAATAAAGTTGTGCTTTAGTTGAGGCATGTAGTTTAAGTTTTTCTCAAAAGTTTGGTAAAAATGCTAATCTAAATTTCTACTTGATTCTCGAAATGCTTATGTCTGGTATGTATACAAAGTGCTTGATTTACTCCTGACATTGCCTTAATTCTCCTGTTGGAAACTCTTGTTTTAAATGTAGACGCCAGCTCAGTGGCCAGGCTACAAATCCATCCAGCGGCTCTTTGCTCCATGTCCCCCCTCTATCCCTTTTTCCAATATATTATCTATAATAGAAGGCAAAAAGCTAATAAATAAATATGGAATAAATATTACCTTAAAAAAAGGCAGTTGTTCTTAAATAACTAACTAAGGATGGTCCTTAACTTAGATTATTGCATATTTGTTTGAAGGTATTTCATGTTGTATGGATAAATATTCAAGTCATCTTCAAGGGTTATTTTCCTTATAGGCGTTAGTTAGTGGGTCTTTTATTCTGAGACTTACTTCACTTCACTTCCCAGCTCGGACTGTCTGATCTGCTTCAGGGAATCCTCAGCAGTCATGGTGGCCTTGGCGACGTAGTCCCAGAATGCATCTTTCACCATTTCCACCTGGGGCTTGGGCTGGTTCTGCCACACAATGTTGGCATGGCAACCTGGTGGAAGAACATAAGATCCAAACATATTATTATTTCAATTTCAATGAATAACCGTTTTTCTTTAGCTAACATTTTTTTTATCTTGCTCACCTGTGAAAACAGCGAGGGCGAGCACAACGAGGACCTTCATGACTGCAGCTGAAAAGAAACATGCAACATTAGCTCTCAGTGCTTATTTTCCATATCGTAATGTGATATTCCTGGTTGGGGTGTCTCACCTGTGGCTGAGCTGTGATGGATGCAGAGTGTGTTGTGCACAGCTCCTGGATCAGTATATATAGCAGCAGAGTCCCAGAGAGGAGCAGGAGGAGTAAAGTCCAGCACTCAGTGCCCTGCTGTCCCTGCTGCTTCCACATCATAGTGACACCACCACTGTGTGATGAAACCTCCTGTCCTCATTATCTAGCAGACACAATCCACAGCTAGGTTTGTGTTTTTTTGAGCATTCATTATTTTTCTTTTTATCAGTTTTGTGTTGTTTTGTATTTATTTTTTGGGTATTATTTGTATTTATTTTATTATAATTATTATTATATGTAACAAAAATATTAAATATTCTATAACACCAAAAATATATAGAAATAACATAATAACAGTTAAGGAGAAAATAAAAAAGAAATCAAATCAAAAAGTGTTATCCAATTAAATGTATACAAATCATTTAATTAGCTTACATAAAACCTTGACCGCACTTTTAGGATAATAGCAGCAGTTATTATAACATATACTTTCAAACTTTCAAACTCGCAATTAATACTTCCTCAATAAAACGACGTTCAATAAAGATTGTTAATTTATTTATATTTAAAGAGTCCACACAAGAACCTTAAAAAAAAATAAAAATGTTTAGTTAGTCATTGATGTATCATCACTATGTGACACTTTCATGGTAAAACATTCAAAATTGTACATGAAAATGAATAAAACTAAAATAACACAGGTGTCTAAAACAGAAGTAGTCGTAAACCCTCTTTTACTTGGATTTTATTTACTTTTTATTCTTACTCTTTACTCTTATTAAACATGTTTTAGTTTGGTTAATATTGCAAGTATTGTATTATTAATTCACTTGGTACGAGAGGTGAGCTATTTCATCTATATATCCTATCGTTGTTCAATTATGAACAATTGTATATTCCCTAATAATGTTCAAAACAGGAATGAAGGAATAAAGATTTTAATAAACTGTGAATGTGTATGCATTTAATGTTGTCCTTGTATTATGTAAATGGAAAGAAAGATGTGCTAAAATAAATCAATATAATCATTTGTTTAGATTTTGTGGCCTAGCTCTGAGAAAAGCTTTATTTTATGATCTTTAAAATGACAAAAAGGCCTACATAAGAAATAATTTAGCTTTGTTGTTGGAGACAGAAGCCAAACATTTGAGAGTTGAATTAAAAATAAATCTTGATAAACAAAAAAATTTCTTCGTTTAAATTAAATAATGACAGTTTACCAAAATCAGTAGGATGCATTCTCTGGAGACAATTAATGTCTTCGTAAAGTTTCAATGATGGCCAGGTGTTGCCACCATTAAAGAGCAAAAAAGCCAAACTAATAGTATATTATATGAGATAAAAGCTTATATAATGACATTATGTTATCGTAGTGAGTAGAAAATGACTCATATTGATTGGTTTCGGTCGCTCCTATGCAACGTGTGAACAGTGAGGAGTAAGAAATGTCAGCAGATAAGATAATATTATTTAACAGTGTGGTGCCAATACTGTTGATGACTTCATTATAACTTAGAGCACAGAGCACACAACACATTGACCCAGCCAAATCCTCTCAGTTTAGAGACAATGCGTTAGCGTCAGACGTTTATCGGTCAGTGAGGTTTGAGCAGGACTTTGATCGGGATTATCTGTACTGAGGAATGTTACGTTTCCTTATGCAGCAATTCCCTCCTGAGAATCTGATAACACAGAGTACTTTAAGGTGAACTACTGATAAACATATTTTCATATGACCCATGCAAATTCTAAGAAGGCCTGGCAATATCTTAGATGACACGCTTGTCTCCAAAAAACAAAATGTTTACGGATAATGATATGTTAAATATATAGTAGATATATTCAGAAGTGTAAACAGCTGTAAAACAGTAATTACAAGCACTTCAAAGGTCAAGTGACACTATTACTTATACTTCTAAACTAGAGTTTTACCGTAGGCTGCATTCAACTATGTGTAATGTTAGAGGTTTAAACTCACAGTGTCCAACTCATAAGAATCATCATTCGAATCAAATTGTTTCAAACAAAGGAGATGGGTATTGAGTGTCAGCTGGCTGGGGAAAGGAATAGTGTTTATTTGAGGTGATTCAGGAAATGAATGGGAAATGATACAATGTAGGGACATTATTTGGGATTTTCTTGAGTCTTAAGTCCAAGTGAAGTCCCAAGTCCTAGTAATAGAGTTCAAGTTGAGTTGTAATTATTTTTTAATTTTGTCACGTCCAGTCTTAAGTCATCCTAATTGTTACCAGTACACACCTCTGCTAGCTGTTAAAGATAGCAGAACAATTAGCATTTTCCCCAGGTAGTCGAGACCCAAAATGGAGCCGAAAGAGATACAATATTGAACTCAAATTCACCAGAGACTCTAGACTCGTGTGACGATAATGTTCCTCCGTATCTGCTTTATAAATAAGCACACACTTTAGCTAAACATCATGATGGTATAATGTGTTAATAGATCAGCTCCTTGCACTGCCCCGAAGATGCCAATATCAAATGATCTGAGGTTTAAATGAAATCTTCCTTACAGTGTCTTTCTATCTTAGGTGTTTTTGAAGCGTGTCATATTGATTCAGCCTCATAACAATTTCATACAGATGACTGAGAATATGTTTCACAGAATGAATAATATGTGACGTGGAGTGGCAGCAGTGACCAGTATCTGTCCAGCAGGGCAACCAGTGAAGGACTTTACCCTCCAGTAGAGCTATAAAAGAGCTGACTGGAGGTCTGCACAACATCATCACACTCAGGCTGAAGAAGAGACAAGCTGCCTCTGCAAGGTAATGCTTTCAATCATCATTTAAACACTTTATTACTAAATAAATGTCAGATTTTCACTAATTTAAAAATGTCTTTATCCAACAGATTCAAATTCAATCATGAGGGTACTTGTGGTTCTCGCACTTTTCTCCGGTGAGTACATTTTTCTTTGAAATAAATATTAACATCTGGTTGAGTAAATATTAGGGTTCCACTGAATTCTGATGTTTTCTCCACAGTTTGCAATGCCAACGTGCTGATGCAGGTGCCTCCTAAAACCGATCTGGATCTGGTGAAGGATGCTTTCTGGGACTACGTGGCCAAAGCCACGCTCACTGCTGAGGACTCTGTGAAGCAGATCAGACAGTCTGAGCTGGGGCAGGAAGTGAGGTGAGACTGAGAACTAACTAGCTTTACATTTTGTACTTATTTTTTTAATTTGCATTTTAAGAAATGTTTGTATTACAAGGCCTTAATTACAACATAAACACTTAAAAACATAACATAACTACACAACAATCCACATATCCGAAAAAGGGAGAAAAAAAAGAAAGAAAAGAAAATGGATAATTACTTATAAGGTATAGCTAACACATATCAGATACAATATCAACATCCAACCAGCTGGTCATTATAAATGTTTTGTGTTCTATTATTTACCCATTTCCCCATCTTTTATCAAAGATACGAATTTGGTTTCTTATTCTAATGTTTTTCACACATTTCATTTATTAGATTCTTCCATTGTGAGTTTATTAAGTTAACATCTATTAACAAAATCCTTGTGATTTGTTTAATAATTGCAATTCTTATTAGGAGAAATAAGTAGGAATCTTTTTATTTGATTTCATCTGGTGTTTTTCCCAGGCAATAAACTAGGTTGCATTGTTTATTGACCTAGCCAAAGCATTTGACACTGTAGATCGCCACATTCTGTCTAATGTTGTGTTCGTGTCTCGTTTCGGTCATAACGCCATTTGCTGGTTTCAAAGTTATCTAACCGACCGTACTCGATGCGTCAGGTTGGGTAGTACTGTCTCTAACCCTGTCACCTTGGAGAAGGGAGTCCACAGGGCTCTATTTTGGGGCCCTTGCTCTTTATATTATATGCAAACAATATTTGTAATCAGATGCAATATTCTACCTATCATATGTATGCTGATGACACTATTGTATACTCATGTGCTCCTTCTCTGGATATGGCCTTTTCCAATTTAAAATCTGATTGTATCATGCTCGCTGCAGCATGCACTTCTTGACTCCAAACTGCTATTGAACAGTAAGAAAACCAAAGCAATGCTTTTTGCTCCCAAGTCAGCGTCCTCTTGCCCCTCCATTGACACCCTTGATGGCGTCTCCGTTGAGTTTGTCGATACGTACAAATATCTGGGCTTTTGGTTGGACAGAAATCTAAACTTTAAACACCATATTGAAGTTCTTACTAAGAAATTGAAATTCACTCTTGGCTTCCTTTACAGACTTAAATGTAGTTTTTCAACTTCTTCCCGTAAAAGGTTGTTCTCTGGCTTATTCCTGTCCCAGCTGGACTACGGTGATACAATTGATAGATTTGCCTGTCCCACTGTTTTGGCCTAACTTGACCCACTCTACCATGCTGCACTGAGTTATATATAAAATGCACCCTATAGGATTGTGGATAAAATAAAACATGAGAGGGTCTCTATTTCGTACTACTCTTATTTGTAGGTAATTTTACGACTGGACCGGTTCTTCCGACGTTGCAATGTGTAATTAATGTGTATTTTGGTCTGTACTATTTTATGTCTCGTTGTGTTATTCATTTGTTTTTCTGCCTTAGCGTCAGTGATGTAACACGTTGTGAACCTGTTCATTCCATTGATGACATAACCGACGTTCCTCGTCGACCACAATCTCCCGGAGTCTGTTGGAAAGGTAAATTTGTGTCCGGAATATCCCTGGTTGCGCGATCAAAAGTCAAAAGTCGGAGTCAGGTTTTGCGCGTCTTGGATCTCGGCTATAGGTCCGTGACCCTAGCGCCGAAGATTCTCGAGCCCGTATCCGTGTATATATATCGTTCAGCCTTCGAATAAATTTTACCGAAATATTGTCAATTATTTTTGGTTACGACGTAGGATCGCCGTATCATTCCACTTCCTGGCGTAGTCAATCCCGAATATGTCAAAACATNTTTGACAGAGAGCACCAGAAAGCCAGAACGCCGCTCCGGCACTTGAGAAACAGCCACGCAAAAACTGCGGCATGTGTACGGCTCCTTATGGGTACTGCAATTTCTCAAGTGCCGGAGCGGCGTTCTGGCTTTCTGGTGCTCTCTGTCAAAACTGCACCCCTGTCAGACACGTTAGGCTCGTGTTGTGTTCAAGGACCCTAATCTTGGCAAGGAAAAACAGGCACTCGCTTTTTTTTTTTTTTTACGGTCTATATTTCTTCAATTTTTTTCTTTTTTGAATGTATTTATAAATTACCTCGAGGGCCGTACCAAATGGTCTCGCGGGCCGTATACGGCCCGGAGGCCGGAGGTTCCCCACCCCTGCACTAAGTGAATGTCTTTATGATAGTTCTATGCTAAGAGACGCATTTGTCACTAGTTTACTGTGAAAGATGATGCTTCATTCTATAGCTGTTCATAGTGGTGTTTCTTTTATAAAGGAAACTGCTATAGTGATTTTATTGATCACTTGGCTGCACATTCAGATAAGTACATGAACCCTTTTGAGAGAACTTACTGCTCACTGTTCATTTAGCTGCTGCTTACTATCAGCAAATGTTCTGTCTTGTATCTAACCCCAGGACAACAGTGTGTTCATTCTGAATCCTTCCACCACTGTTAAAAAAAGTTAATTTTGTTGTATTGACTTTTGCACATCCTTCTTTGAGTTTAAAACGGATATAATGTTAAATAATGCTAATAAGATATTAATTTAAAATGCGCATACAACTTTCCTTTTCTATTTCTTGTTGAGAGCACTAGCCTGCGAGACTGCACGTGAAGCTAAGGCACGGTGAAACCAGCCTTCCACATCTACGTCATTACTACATCCAATCACGTTTCTTTCAACTCTTCTCTGAGCCAATCACAGACGCTCTTTTAGATCATCGTGTTAGGTTGTCGCTGCTCAGTGTTGTCATTTCCAAACATGTCCATCACGTTCTAAGTAGAGGATTTTATATTTATCCTGAGAGTTTATTCTCTGTCACAATGAGTAACGTTTGCAGAGAAATCGTCACTCTTCAGTTGGGACATTATTCAAACTTTGTCGGGACTCACTGGTGGAATTTACAGGTAAGCAGCTAGCGCTAAGCTAACGTTAGCATGGCATGTGTTGACAAACTTGGAGAGATAGCTCATGTTAGCAGCAGCGTGAATGTGCTGTCTTTGTTCAATAAACACACCGAGGACATGCAGGGGAAACAACTAGCTTATACACAGGCTACATGGTGCTAGAGTGTGAAGTCAGCAGTTTATTTCTGATCAGATAGTCATATTTTAGACGGAAATTGGGGATATTCCTAAGTGAGATATGTATATTAATCACTTCAAATTTAAAATAAATCAACTGGTTTGAATTAAAAAAAGAAATATGTTCTGTGTATGGTGAGATGGTTTTGCTACATCCTCAGTCATCTTTAAGGACCCTCCTGCGTCCAGCTGCAGATGATGTCATGTATACATTACAACTATACATATACATTCGAGATACTTGTATTGTTTGTGATAAGCTGAACTATTTTCCTTTATGGCCAAATGAAGTGATCCTACTTTTGTAGTTGTATACAATCTTTAAAGAGCCTCTTGGATCAGCTGGAAAATGCATCGTCACAAAGCTGAAGACAGGGTTTTTTTTTTTGATGATACATTATTTTGGATAAAAACACCCAAAAGCATATACAAAAGTTTAAATGAGCAAAACCGAATGAGTAACAACTACAGCAGCAAAAACCGTAATGCAGCATCAATATCAATCCAACATAATGTATAATAATAAAACCCTGAGAGAAAGCCCTTTTACTGCACATTGCATTTGTTTTACTTTTGCTAATGATACTCCATTAGTTTTCCTTCAGTTAGGTTTTTTAGATGGATGACTTTAAGTGTGGTATTAGAACTTTTCATTTTTAAAGTTAAGGGTCTGAATGCTTTGCAAAAACCGAGTAAGTTCAAGCCCACATAAATGATTTACTCTAAATGACAATCGTTGTAGTAAAAAAAACCTAAAGCATTACATTGCAAACACAGAACTATATATCTTCCGTCCAAAACTTGAGTGAAATCTGTTCAAATGGGGCTAATCCCCTTGTGTCTGTTTGCAGGATGCCTCTTTGTCCTACGATTCAGACACGTCCCTGGGTGAGATCCAGAGTGATGTCCTCTTTCGAGAGGGACAGACTCTGGGGGGACACGTCACACACACACCTCGCCTCATCGCCATGGATCTCAAAGGTAACTTCCTCTGATCCTGTTGTTTCATAATCAAAACAAATGAGACTTGCTTCACTAGTTTAACTATGGGTAAAACATTGATATGTCTTACATGGATACAGGTTGCTATAGTAACCTGGTTTTGTATGCTGCTGGCTAAGCTGATGTCACACATTTCTATAACAGGAAGTCTCCGGACTCTACGGCAGGAGGGAAGTCTGTATGACGCCAGCGAAGAGGCCTCCGCTGTCACATGGTAGATGAAAGTGTCTCTGTGTGCATTACTTCCTGTGTGTTTACAGATTTTAAGGGCACAACAAACTGTGTTGTATTTATAGTAGGACTGAAACTAACACTTGTTTTCATTATCTGTAAATCTCCCAAGAAGTCTAGATTATTCAGATCATTGTTTGGTCTATAGCATGTTATAAACTAGTAAGGTATCCATCGGAGTATCTCACACCACAAGTCTCAGGACAGGTGATTTCTAATCATGTCAGCAGCGCTAATTGAAAGGTACAGTGTATTCCTGGTGGATTTTGGCACCTTAACAGGAGGCGTGTGGTGCAGTGGGTTGTGCGTAGGTGTTGGGATCAGGGGGTCACAGGTTCAAACCCCACTGCAGTCAGCATGTCGTTGTGTCCCTGAGACACTTCACCCCAAATTGCTCCTGTGGGGATTGTCCACAGTATTGAGTATGTAAGTAACAAGTAACATGTAATGTAATGTTAACTCATTATTTTCTTGATACCTTAGTTTTAATGTAATGAAATACTGTACAACAATCATCAAAGTGCTCACTTACTGTTAAATATTTGAGTTAAAGGTCAAACCTCTATTGATGGATGTATCAGATCTGCCTACTGTCCCTTTCTTTCCCTAACTGATATTGAAGCAAAATGTTAGACAGTTCTTGGTCTTTTTGATTTCAAACTGTGCTCCATCTGGCAGGGAGGGAAGCCTCACGATGCACGAAGAAACTCCAGCTGAGAAGAACCCTTTTCTAGAAGATCTGGACAGGCTGGATGTGAGTATTTGTGAAGAAAATCAAACTAACAAGCAGCTTAATGATGCAGAGTATTTTCATTTCACTGTCATCTTGAGATAGTGATGCCAAGCCATTTGTAATAATGCGCTTTTATAGCAATCACAAAGCAAACAGAAGATCAACACTAGCACAACTTTAGTGCTAACGTAGGTTTCCAAAAGGCCACATGATGTCATCATTATTATCATCAAAGGTTTCTTGTGTACAAGGGTGTCCATCTACCTTTTTCACCTTTTTGTCTTTAATCATTTTCCCTATTAAGACACAAAAGTAAAGAGCAACAAAGAGTCGTACAACATAACACAACTTGAAATGAACTGGATACAGTTCATACAAATACATGCTCAAAGTACCGATAATGAATAAAGGAAAAAAAGAATGATGACATTTTTCCAGTACAGATAATTATGAAATGACTGTATGTATAGAAAAAATACTACTAAACATATATAAATTAAGGAAAATAAATAAATAGAACAAATAGTCTCTTAATTAATGTTACTTCCCCGCTGTTACATTTTTATTGCTTATTTTACATGAAAGGCATCAAAAGCTCCTAGATAGAATGAATGGCCTGCCTCCTTTTAAGACTGTATGTTATTTTCTTCTTCCTTCACTAGCCTAAGCTCGTCTCATTTAACATGAGAGAACGGCTTCTCCGTGTCTTCCTACCTTTGCTATTTGAATAGCCAGGAAGGTATTTAGCGGTAGATAGCACCTGATCATGGCAGGTTACTGGTAGAGAGGGACACATATCAACCACAGCCAGAATGTACTAGCCTGATGGAATCTGATATGCTTTCTACTGCAGAGCATTCCCACTTTTCGATTGTACTTGATGTAGTCATTTTGATTTAGATTGGTCTGGATTGAGTAATAGTGCTGCAGAAACGTTAAGTGTTTTATCCTGACGGTTTGTTTTTCTCTCCAGAGAGGGCAGACCCTTGCTGAAGATGACCTTCACCCCCAACCTCGGCGCTCAGGTAAGAAAATCTTAAAGGAACTTTAAAATTCAGCATGAAATAAGATTTTGCATGAAACTCAGCAGCGAGCCCTGTGAACCCCCCCTCCCCCAGCTGCTGCAGTGAGCCTGGATGTGAACAGCCAGCTGGCGCGGCTCCAGAAGGCCTACCGGCTGGAGGGCAGCGTGAGGGTGTGGTCCGACTTCCTGAGGCTGCACCTGCACCCCCGCAGCATCTCCGTTATCCACCAGTTCAACCACGACGGGTAGAGTGCAACGTCAGACTTAAAACAGGAAGCACAGCATTGGGATTTAACTTCGTGATCGTTTTCACAATACAGACTGATTCATTTCGAATTGTATACTGTTTTCGTCTTTATAATATAATCATATTTTCATATTCGTCCAATTTAAGATGGCAATACTTGTTTAAAGTAATCCAAATCAATTTGATACCTCATATTATAAGCACTTTACCGCTTTACAGTGACACACAGAATATATAGACTATGCAAGGATTATGTACAGTATACTTGTGATGACTGACAGTGGTGGCATTTACTCCAATACTGTACTCAATTACAATATTGAGGTACTTGTACTTTACTTGACACTTTACATTTCCTGCTATTTAACACTTCTAACTCACTGCAATTCAGATGGAAATATTTTTACTTTTTAGTCTATTAAAGTAGGCTTACACTGATGATGCTAACACTTTGTATTTATACTTAAGTAACACAACAAAACAGAACTTAATTTGTAACAGACTATTTTACACGTTTACTTCTGAGTACTTACATCAGCATAGTTAGAGTCCTGGATTTCATCAAAATGACAAGAAGCACAGGCTCAAGGGAAGACAGAATTATGTAGGATATATTAAGGAGAACCTTTTAGCACATATTTAGAGTTAAGTATAGTGAATAAATAGTATATCACAGCACAAGGTGCTGGACGTAAAAGGCAAATCAGTGAGCCCAGACTTATACATCATAGCCAGATGAAGCACAGTCATATAATTGATAGCAAGTTAACATTGTTTAAGACATAAGAACAAATAATGTATTCAATTTTTATAAAAAATAAATGCAAATTCTACTCTTATAAAATGTAATTATCTAGTATCCTATGTTTTATATATTTAGTTTGAATAGTAAATTAGTCTATTACAGTGTATCCTAAATTATTATTACTTTATATTGAGTATTCTATAGAAACTCTATTTGTATTTGTTATATTTTAAACGTATGTGCAATTCCTGGTAAACATGAGGCAGTTGAAAACATATTAGGTATTAAGTATATCTAATCTAAGAATAATTTCATATTGCTTTTACACTGACAGTGCAGTACCTCCTGCTGTCCAGTAGATGTCAGGCTTTACTCAGATTTGGCCTGTAAGGCATTGTTGCTCTTCCTGTGTGTGTGTGTGTGTGTGTGTGTGTGTGTGTGTGTGTGTGTGTGTGTGTGTGTGTGTGTGTGTGTGTGTGTGTGTGTGTGTGTGTGTGTGTGTGTGTGTGTGTGTGTGTGTGTGTGTGTGTGTGTGTGTGTGTGTGTGTGTGTGTGTGTGTGTGTTTGAGAGAGAGAGAGAGAGAGAGAGAGAGAGAGAGAGT